AGGCCTGATTATCAAAAGATTTTAAGACTGAAATTAATTTCTGTTAATTAAAATTAATAGGCAACGATAGACTCTAATATGATTCACTGCGATATTTCATTCCTAGGTCATTCGTTATATACCTATCCGGTTTAGTGACGCAACGCAACGCAGCGAAACGACGAAAACCTGGAGCCATGGTTGAAATTAAGTGATTACGAGTGCGCTCACGCTCACGTACTAATATGAACAAAAAAATCAGTATGTTATGCATAAGCAGAAAAAGAGGCTTACCTTGAGGAAAATCGCTCAAAGCACTCACAGCTCTCTTCAACGAATTCTGCAAATCGAACTTTATGGTCTTTTGTGCTATTTTAGAAAAGGACAAAAAAAATAATAAAATAAGCAAATGACTGGCAGGGAAGGTTCTTGTTTCTTAAGTTAATTAGATGATTCAACTGTCGATTGACAAGTCAATCAAAGGTCCTTTATGCTTAAGTTGTAGAATTAGGTCTCTTCAATGTCACGAAAAAATTCGCAAACGATGTCTGACCATATTCATGAGCATATGTCGTTGATGAATATTTAGAAAATTAGTGGTACTTCGGGGTACGAACTATTCCCAGGGTAAACGTCCTAAGCGACTATGCGTAAACTCAAATCAAGTCATATATAGTCTCAGATGCGTGCAGTCGTATGAAATTAACAATTTCCTCCCCAGGGTGATTTAGTCATTCCATACGTGACAACATGAATGCCACCTTTTTGATGAGAGAGGAATGGTTTGCATATGATGAAGAGAAATTACTGCAGTGTCTAGCCAAGCGATGAGCTTTGGACCCATTCTATAATATTGTTCCTCAAGTACTTGCCAGTAGTTAACTGCAGCAAATTGTTATTATAATTCATAGTCATTCTATCGTCTAGCCACAAAGAATTTCACTTAAAACTGAACGTCAATGATACATGATCCATGGGCAGCTTAAGGCAAAGCTCGTTTGGTGCAGAACTGCACAGAAACTTTTCAACTGGCCAAAGACAATCTATACATTCATCTTACAGCTCTTCCAGACAGAAAATAACAGACAACTTCAAATTTCTACTTAAATACAGCTCTGACTTTCACGCTAAGCTGCGAGGAGAAGATGTTTCTCGAAAAGAGACAAACAGTGAGGTGGCAACGAGGCTAATTCATTTTCCTGTCATAACAAAATCTTTAGAAACAAGTGATCCACCACCTGTCAAGGAAACTAAATGTCTCAAAAGGATGCATTCGTGGAATGACCACGAGGGATGGGAAATTAGAAGAACCTCGAACATAGAAAGGCCTTGGGTAAGAGGGGAAAGAAATATTGCATCAGTTTCTGCACAGGAAACAAAACCCTCATTTACACAAATCAGACGACCAATGAAGGCGGATTGCGGAGGGTTCTCCCTTCCATCCCCATCAGAAAGTGCAATAAAACTTTACTCGACCTCCTTCCTATCAAGTGAAAAATTTACAAAACGTCATGATTTGCATACAGGAGCGGGGCATTCATTCCCTTCGCTTGTCTATTCAGGCTCCATGGGTGAGTCAGATGAGCTCATCTATCACGAAGCAGGTTATCCAGCGGTAAAGCTACTTGTAAGAGGCAAGGGAACTTTCGACTGCGCGCATGCGAAACAGACAAGCTTTCCTGTAAAAGCCACGTCAGAGAGAAGTGTTGAAGAAAGTGACAATACTTTGAAGACGCATGTCGAGACTGCAGAAACTGATTTTAATGAAGTGGAGACAAAGACTGTTAGGTTACTTGAATGGCTCTTGGATCAATCGGAGATCAAATCATGAAATTTGAAGAACATTCCATTATCATTTCCAACCTCTCTACGGCCATAGGGCATATCGTATTGTGAATTTTTATATCATTATTACTTGAAAGAAGTGATAAACATTCATCCAGTTTTCAGTTAAAGTATAATAATATACTTTCACTATTGACGCTGTTTGAATTATTAAACTGATTGTGCAACGTATCACCGACGCAAAATTAGCATTGGTCATGATATCATAAAATGCTTAAAGAAGAAAAAATTAAGGGTTGGGGCAACCCATTCCTTTTAATGTAAACAGTTTCTGTTTAGGAAGATTGATTCAACTTAAAACTGCCATTTAAAAAGTGCCTCGTTCCTCTTTGCACTAGATGAAACAGATTAAGTGAAGGAGGACAAAGGGAGTCTGTTTGAGAAGGAAGCCTGAACTTTTAGTCCAAAGCGGAGAGGTTTAATTCTGTCCGTGGGATTCAGTCTCTCAGTACAAGCAAGAGAATATAATCTCTTGGCACAAGTAGATAATGTCTCAAGCGCTTGCTGTAGGTAGTTCATTATGTGTACTTATTTTTTCCCTAGTATAAAAATGAAATCTGCAGATGAGGAGTTATATATAACTTTAACGACCACTATTGACATTAAGCCGAGCTTTTGAATAAATACGTGCGTGTGTTCTAGATGCTTATTCTATCTGAAGGAGTGACATTATCTCGAAATAATAGTCCTTACAGAAAAAAATTAAAATTTATTAATTTTTTGCTGATAGTCATCAGTCCAAAGACGCTATAGATGGTCAGAGCTTCTAGAAATTTCACGGACGATGGTTCAAGTAAATTCCAAAACGTGCTTTATGACCCTTCGATAATTTAATCTAATTGATATGAATTGATCACTAATGTAAACGAAAGCTCTTATCGCGCTCACGAATGACAGGGATGGGAGGAGATGACAAACGAGTGAGTGAGATTAATCATTGAAAAGAGATCTGATTGTAATGAACATAACCATTGTAGTTATTTGTTTAGAGGCATACATTGTCGCTCATTCGTGGAATCGTGGTATGGTTTTTTTTTTTCTTTTTGCATTGCGACTTGTATTAAGCCACCTAATACGCACCTAGAAACTCTTACAAATTTAGTATCCCTTACTAATAACGGCGAACTCATTTCTTTCTATTTTTTGTTTGTTTGTTGGTTGTTGTTTTTTTCTTTTTTAGCATGTTTTCTAGCTCCCTAGGCATGTACCTCAAAAACCGGTGACTTGTTAGCAAAAGCTATAGATCGGTTCTAATGTTTTTTTCGCCACTCGATGAGAGGAGAATTTGGTGGAGGCCTAAGTACAACAGTGATTAAGAAGGAACGTATCATGGAATTACTTTAACCCAGCTAATGGCCAACGGATAAAAGTCAGCCACGCTAACTTCAACTTATTGATTTCCTATCGATAGTTGACCGGTTTACTTGCTTCACGTCGAAACGTAACAGTTTCTTGGATAAAAGAATAAACAGGGTGAGTTTCCAAAGAAACTGTGATGCTGCGTCGGTGGAAGAGTATAGCAGGTAATTTAGTGTGAACAACTGAGTTGATAACGTAAATTGGTCACCGTAAGGAGTAAAAAAAACTGACGTTTCGAGCGTTAGCCCTTCGTCAGAGCGATTGACTTGTTTTTTTCGCCTCTTGATGAGAGGAGAATTTGGTGAAGGCCTAAGTACGGCAGTGATTAAGAAGAAATGTATCATGGGATTCCTTTAACCCAGCTAATGGCCAACAAATAAAAGTCAGAATCGCTCTGACGAAGGGCTAACGCTCGAAACGTCAGCTTTTTTACTCTTTACGGTGGCCAATTTACGTTTTAAACTCAGTTGTGAACACTAAATTACCTGCTAGTTTCTTGGATATTCATAAAACATCCGTTGTCTATTTTCTATATCCTTTGAACTTATTTGCTCTATGTACTAGAATGAAAATCAGTGCTGTTTTTAAGCCTTCGGATGGGAAAGATAATGGAAAACTGTCTAAGAACATTTTGGCGCACGGCGGATCTTGTTATACGTGCAACCTCATTGCTTATTTTTAATGAGTAGCTTGAGGCACCACTTTGCCCTCGGAAGGAGAAGAAGGTATTTGAACAGTTTGTATAAAATTTCGATTGAAACCCATCCAATGGCAATTTGTTTTACTTTATATATATATTTTTTGTTTTCTTTAATTATATATAACTTGTTAATTACCACCGATAGATTGATTATGTGGGCATAGAAAGATAGATGTGGTCAGTCGTTCGACTTGATTTTTTTTTGTTTATGCTAAATTGGAAAACGTGCTGTAGTAATAAGCCAATTAAGCTAGAAGCTATTCTATTTCATTTACGAATGGTAAATTTAATACGTCAATCAATTTCAAAGTTGACAACATCAAAAGCAACAACAAAAACAAAGGCTTTTAAAAACCTCGAGGGTTAACATCAAGCGTAAAGATCTGATGAAAAGTCATTCAAACACTACTGTGATGTCACCTCATTAGGGAATCATCCAAATTCGTGTGGTTAATTTGTTCCAATGCACCTTAGATTTAAAGATAAAGAGTTTTAAATAAGAGTCAAAAATTGCGTGAGTTTGTACCCCCCCCCCCCCCCCCTTTGTAAACTGCTGCATGCAGTTTACTCAGAGTCCCTGCACAGTTTTAGGGGGTGGATGAAAACTTTGGGAATGCACAAATCAATCATCACGTCAGCTTTGCTTAGTGATTGACACCACAAGCTGGGAAAAAAACCTTCTGCATGAAATTTCCTACGTAGATGGCTAGCACTCACAACAGACTGAGATAGCTAATAATAGCTGATACCAAAAAGGACCACTTGATCAGCATCATCAGCTTGATCAGCATCATCAGAAAGCACAAATTTCCTGAGAAAGAGTCATGACCAGCTAGCGTTGTAGTGTGCATTTTAGACTGAGTGTTTACGCAGAGAAGATAGGGCTGTGGTGGGACTACTGATATTCCATTTTTATATCTGACTCAAACTTTTCTTTGATAAACGCCCAATGTTAATAGAAGAGGGGTATACGCAATTATCATTCATTTAATTCACGCATAAGCCTCGAAACGAAATTGAAAATTTTATTTTGGCGATCAAACATGTCAGTTAGACACGCGAGACAAACGAGTGGTAACAGGATGATGTGCTAGCTAATCAGTTTCCAGTGTGGAATAAAAAAAAACACTAAAAACAACTGCTACAAAAACAACAACAATACCCGCATTCAAATTTGTTAAAATATCCAGTTCAGTTCAACCGTGAAGATTGCAAGTAATATCATGAAAAACACGCACGCAATGACAAACTCGCCGGGGGAATCGTCAATAATTTTACTCTTTCTTAACTTGCTGCATCCTGACTTAGATCCGAATATAAACAGTTCCAAAATAGCGTTTTATAATTCTATAAGGCCTTACCCTTCAGTTCTAATCTGCTTCAAATAGTCTGTTCAAATGCCCGCCTTGAAATGTGCAATTTAAATGCCATATAATTATAAAGCCAACTTTGCTTTCCTGATTAAGGCCAAAAAGGGAAAAAATTGTAGATAAATGAAATTTTTTGAATACTTGACGAAGCCTAGCTAAAGACAAAGCCAAGCTAAAGATAAAGCCAAGCTAAACATAGCTGACTCTCATTAAAACTTTTTGGTGCACTTAAATAGTAAAATGAAGGCGAGAAAAACACAAAATATTTTCTTAATCTTGAAACAAGGCACTTCAAACTGAGCACAATATAAATTAATGAGCATCAATTTGTCACATCTGATAACGAAATCCTTGCTGAGTGCCAAGTCCACTACAAAGAGCTCTATACATCCCATCAAAATGTGATGCCGCCTGAAAGTGAAATTTCCAGCTGGAAAAGGACCTGATCCTGGACTACTCATAAAGAATTGCTCAATTATTACATGCATAGAATGAAACAATCATAGAATGACTAATTAATTATATTTCTACAACTACGCTTTTGGAAACTTTGAGAACTCAACAGGCTTGTTTCAAAGCGGTTAAAAGTGATGGATGTTGAAGTAAACAAAGAGAAAATTATTAGTTTAAGAGAATAAGCCACACTGGCTTCCAGAAATATTCCTCCTTGTTTGTACTTTAAGAAAGTTAGTCCCTTCTGAAAAAATAGGTGTACATGAAGTGTCGGACCTTCAACTGGGTGGTGGCAAAATCCGAGGTAGAAAAATTGAATCAGGAAGCGCATAGTCTAAATAAACTCAACTAGCCAGCCATGTTAATAAGTGTTTTAAGGAAAGGATGGGAAACAGATCAGGAAAAGACGTAGAACAAAAACAAATTGACCAAAAAAAAACGGAAGTTGTCAACTGCCCTTACAAGAATCTGTTTGGAAGTGAAGGTTAGAATAAGCCTCCATTGCCCCTTGTTAATCTTGCAAAATCACAGAGAAGAAGTGGAACATTGTTAAGGTTTAAAGATGTGAAGGTGAGGGTATTGAGAATAAAATTTCTGTTCGATTTTAGAAAATAAAAATCTCTGTAGTGTTAAAGAGATTTATCAACGCGGTCAATTTCTAAGCGTGCTATGATGCTATGATGAAACGAATAAAAAAGGACAAGGTGACTGTTACTTCTGGCATGATCTTCCCAGCCAATGCAACTTACGAGTTCATCTTATTCCATCGTCCAAAAGTAAGACACTGCCCACTTGACTAAGGCCCCATTTTATGGTCTCGGGTACCGAGAACGTTTACATGGAATCTGACATCTTCTAACCCTGGCTCGGCCAGGTTACATATTCGACAAAATAGCGGGCGGCAAGAAAAGAGTAGCTTTAAAAATCCTGGACATAGCATGCGCACGCATTTTCCGTTCGAGTTTTCTCGTCTCAGGTGAGCGAGACAAGTTGTTTACATGAGAGAAAGTTGTCCCACCTGCCAGGGTTACTTTACCTGCCGAGGTGAGACAACTCGCCCCCTGCCACTCCTTCCGTTCCCCTCTTCCCTCATTCTGAGACGAGTGCACAACTTCATGTAAACGGTCGGCTGAATTTTGTAAAGATGGAAGTGAAAAGTTAGCTCGCCCGGGTAACTGGGGGGGAGGGTTGTCACGGGTAGCCGAGACCATATAAATCGGGCCTCAACTTCCCATCTAACCAAACTTCCCTAACCAGCTATAGCCGGCTAATTGAACAAACGCTGCTCACTGTTGATTAAAGCTAACTGAGCAAGGTGATCTATAGATGTTTACAAACTTGAAACAAGACTTTGACCAATATCTTGACCGTTGTCTCTGAGTGGTAATATAAGGCTTATCCATATTTGTCGAAATTGTGACAGCCGACACGCATAATAACGAGTCGTTAATTCTACCTGAATTTTCGCTAGAAGGCATGGAAATGATTCCAAATACATTGTGAAAACTTCATATATGTAACACCGCTTAGGCGCCAAATTTCTTTGCGAATTCTAAGCTGGATGTTGTAGAGAGTCGAAGCTCGATAACACATTTAGTTGACACAACATCGATATTTGGAAATGCGTATGTCATTGCATACAATAGATAAGTTCGCTTTAAATGAAGCTCAAGGCTAGCACAGAATTGTGAGCTCATCTACTGAAAAAATTAGGCAAACCTTAAAATGAGCAAATATTTCTGCTCATGTTTAACTATATGAAAATGGTGGAAAGCGTAGACTGCAGGTTTTTGGCAATTTCTATAAAATTTCACCGAAGCCATTCATCGTTCGCTTCATGAATTAGACCAAATTTAGCATTGCAGAGTCTACCAGTATGGTTAGTGGATTAGTATGGCCAATTACATAAATGTTTAACGGAGTTCACCACCAAACGGATGGTGGATTGATGGGGAAACCTCATTGAAGTAGCATTTACGTCTATCTGTTACATTTTAATGAAATGGCTGTCATGCTTACCATAAAATATGTCTTTTTATTCTTTTATGGAGTGTTACCGAAATTTAGACCAGTCTGGTAGTTGTACTATCACGTGCCAGATGCAAAAAATCAACACTTTATGTTATCATAAGTACGATGCCGTTTATAAACTAATCACGAAACATCTCAAGTGCTCAGGTCATGTAATAACGCTTCTCGAGTTATACCGTAGCTTGCGATTCATGGTCTTATTTTCCAGATGTAAAGTCAGGATCCTCTGTACCTGTGCTAATCAATCGACAGTTGCGCAATTCAACAGAAGGCGAAACTATCCGCGCGCGAGAGAGCATTGCTGCAAACAGGACTTAGCGATCGTAGAGGGGAGCTAATAAGACCAAGGAATCAAAATTCACAGTCAGACTTGACCAACGTCTTATTTTTCTCAATATTATCATGAGACAAAATAATCCAATTCGAACAAAAGCTCATAGTAACATATGAGGGTAACTCCAATCCTTGATAAAGTTATGTTACATAACATAAGACGTAGCAAATCGTGATTATTATCATCATTGCACCTATCAACCCCTTCAATTATCTTTCTAATTGCACCAATGATTTTGACCATCTGTTGTAATCTCGCGAAGTC